CCGACCTGCTTATACTCTATGGACCGAGGTCCCAATCCCACTACCACAACCCAACTTTGGTGGTAGGCAGCTTCGCTGTCACCCAGTTCAATACCACGGTGGGGTCCTAAAAAAACAAAGAGGAAAATGCCGATTGTTGAACACTGATGCGTACCACTCCGATTGAACGTCTCCTACTGTTTGTTTTGTTCATATAGACGTACACCACAGGAATTATTTTACTTATAGAAAGAATACATGCATACCGGATGCACTCTCTTATCTTGTCCATTTTAATATCTCAACCAAACCATACTGATAAGACTTTTGGTACGCGCTGCCCTGCATGAAACACTGGGAACGCCGCTTTCTGGTCGATTCCAGGTTATCTTGGGCAGGCGTCATAAGTGAGATCCGCGCAGCCGATTCGTCACACAAAAGTGAAAAAGGGGGTCAACACTGAAGTTCAATGAGGTTCTTGAATCAGGGAATAATCGTAATTGGGTTACCGATGTGTCGCACACGTTCGAGCTCGAACATAGCTTAGTATCGATAATAAGTATTTTACCAAACGAACCATGAAAAACAACGGGCCAGAAAATTATGTACCAAGTGGTAACCATGAACGATAAGATTAAGAGGGGCGCAAATTAGCAGAACCTAATCCCAAGACTCCGCAGAATAGAAAATAATACCTCCGGTCTTGTTCGTTGGAACCAAGTAAAGTCGAATAGACCAAGTTGTGAAGGCTTGATCCATATTAGAATCGGCTCGGTTATATATGAACAGACACGCACAGACATCTAAATCACGTGACAGTAGCAAAGTGGGTGTCAGCCAAGCTGGTTTCAGACGTCCGGACCAAGTACACAAGTCCGATAGGTAGTAGATGCACACTACAAGTAGATAGAAAACATATCAACAGACAACTGGAAATGTCAAACATTGCCGCGAGATAGATGGGTGAATCAAACCCAGCCCTCAGTAAGAACTGTTGTGTTGGATGTATCAGCCCATCGATCAGTCATGTGAAGATGGATCAAAGCAGTGACCTTAGCGAACCGGACAACACGCACTACTAAAGAAAAAACTGAATGAACAAAAGTTTGGATGATAAATCTCACAATATACATCGTATTACGATCGTATTACGCCTTGGCACAACGATGTGTGCATTATTGAAGTCATGAGATCTATTGGGAAAACCCCTAGGGCCTACAAATCGCGGTGCATGAAAGTTACGCACCCGAAAATGCCCCTACCACCCGTTTCCTGTTCCTTTCAATTCTTCGCCGTTATATGTGGCAGCTGTTGGAAAAAAATACGAATTATCCGTCTCCAATGCAAGGTGCTTCCGGTAATCCCAAATAACTACTGCTTTTATTTCTCTCCAAGGAACTGAAGCTAGTGACTGTAAAGCAACTTTGCTGTCACTTGGATCAATACGAATTAACCAATGGTCGCCAATATGGCTTCAGCTTTCACAGACTCATTGGTGTCCTGATGGCATACAAATTATACAATCGGTCTTCTACCATTGACTAACACCATGACCAATAGCATCTGGTCTCCCTCGACGTAATTAAAGTGTTCGTCAGAATCTGGCATAACGGGCTCGTGGATAAACTTCTGGATATTTCATCACTTGATGAAGAATCATCCTTGGTGAGTGATTCTGCGGACGACGGAGTAATTTTGAGCACAGTGCCAGTAAACTACAGCACCAGACAAAGTTTCGTGTCATCTACAAAATCCTCTCCTTTCTATTCTTCGATGACCTTTCATCACAAAATCTAAGTCCAACAGATGATTTGACCGATGAAGTGATCCTGTATTGTTCTCCTTTTTAATAACAGTTCTCATTCAGTTTCAGTTGTTACAACAATAAACCATGCATTTCCGTGCGCTGGTTTTAGCTGCTGTCTCATGACTACCCATTAGAATGGAGTAAAGCGCACATTGGATTGTTCAAATCAGCATTGGAATAAAGATGGAGAGATCATGGAGATTATCATTTAAAAGAATTTGAGAAAATACACGAGTGCCACTAGTTAGGACAATAAATCAAATCCCTCGGTGTCTCTAACCACCGATTATATTTTATTCGCGTCTGAGTCCAAACAGTGCGCCGAACGAATCTTTATAACAATGAAATAAGAACACCAACAGGTTACCCAACCCCAAGCAGAGCCTTCGGCTAGCTAAAGCCTAACACACAGGGCAGCCGAGACGTAATGCGAGAAAACCAAATCCATTATGGGCCAGTGTCCAGTTCATCGAATCATACGCGCTTTGCATGATGTCAAACGCCCAATGGAACCAGGAAGGTGTGTATGTTTTGTACACCTTTTTCTTGGTTGGTTTGGAATCCGAGTTTTTAGCTAGATCTCCCAGGTGAACTGCCAGTGATTTACTCATAGCCCCAGATGTTGGACTTTTGAATTCTCACATTAGTGGGAAAGCACGTTCGTAACATGAAGCCAATAATAACAGCTTCCTCAGTGGTCTATTTGAGATGTTATGTCCTATGACAGCAATTGGCTAGGTGCAATGGAACGGTGACCATTCACAACTCGAGATACCCACCCCCAAGTACACTCAAGATAAGCCGTCTGCTCGTGCTTCATGCAGTTCAGATCTCAAGACAGAGCGGTATGCTGTCAGGTGAATCCCCAGGTCACGGTTACGGGATCGACCATCGTGAATAAGACGAGTTTGGGGTTATTAAATAAGCGATCCGGGCGACCAGTGGCAGTGCTCGAAAGCCTTGTTTAGATACTGATCCTTATTATAATACTCCGCATACGTTTTCAGACCGTACTGCAACCCGGAGATTGCTGTCCACCACAACATTACTCGTAGTTTGCGCAATGGGCCACCGACTCGTCTGGAATAACCCTATCGCTTTGCAGGTTGTAATCGATTTTGCAAAGGTGAGGGGTATAACCTAGACTCAAAAGGTGCGGTTAACGAACCTCCTACTCCAAACTGCGATCGAATAGGAAAACAGCCCCCACCGGTGGTAAGGACAACGGTTAGCATTGTTTCTACGGGATTCCATGTGTGAGATACATGGAACCTGCTTATCGCTCCCCGTCTCTTTTCAACCGTTATTACCGCAGGTGTTAAGGAACTCTTGCCCAACTGAATGTCTAGCGGTAACGCTGAAATCCTATTTTCATATCCCCCAATATGCACCACCCACCCACCCACCCACCACCCTATCTTGAAGCACAGAATCACCACATTGCGTTCTACATGAATGTTGCATTCTGAATAAAGTAGCTTCACGTATGACACGAAATACTTCACTTGATCGGAATTCGACAATCTGAGTCGAATGTGGCTTGGTTGATCAAAAACAGTGGTTGCACATATGGCACGAAAATGTGGTAGAAACGCGCAGAAAACAACTGGTTTATGAACAATCACTTTCGAGTGTGATGAAATTACCAAGACAGCAATAATCATAGTAGATACTGGAATCCGGTGGCCTAAATCACGTACTGTTTGGCTGGGAACCGTGCGACTATGATAGATGAGCTCCCGAACGTGAGATGCTCGTCGAGAAAAGCAGTCATGGGCACGTGGTTCATAGTAATCAATCTAATCATGATAAAACCTCCATTTTCGGGACTGAATTGCATTGTTTGGGGTCGATAGTTGGATCTCTTTTCGAAACAAAATGTGTCGCGTCGCGTTTTTTGTTGTTGTTGTTGTTATATTGTACTTTTGTCGATGGATTTGATCTGAACACCTACAGTCAAAAACTGAGATTAAAGTATTTGCAACACTGAAGTGAAAGTGCATTCTGAATGAAAGAAGAGTTACTCATATTAGGCCAAGAAGGTATAAATACTAAACATGAAAGTGAGATACGAGTCAGCTTTTTTGTTTTGTTGTTCGTTGTTGTTTTCTCGAGTGTTTTAAAATTTCCACCAGTACTGTACACAATATGAGTAGTAAAGATGGATAATCACTTATTTTCAAGCTTTACAAGTTAATCAAACGATCAAATATTCTGACTGAATCACTGTGAAGCTTGACTGCGGGTACTGTGGGTGGCATTCAACATCGAAGGATCATTAAAAGTAGCCCTTTTGCTCCACCCTTCTGAAAACTCTATGATATGGTCGAACCTGAGGTCTTCGGTAGGTGGATTTCATTGTCCTGGGTTGCCCTCGGAATACCTCTTGGTTGCCTGCGTCCATATTCTCTGCCTTGAAAGTACCATTCAGTGCGTTCGTGTCGCAAGGTTGCTCACGGTAAAGTAAAAAGACCAAAAACGAGTTGATT